TGACGAACAGAAGCCAATGAAATGTATCAATTTACATCAGAAGAAAATGACCCGCGAAAGGATAAGGATAAAAATGAAAAGACAACCAAACAAGATAAGAAAGAAAAGTCGATAGCAGAGGTTACAATATCAAGGAATTGTTCCCAAAAATGACGATACTATTTCCAAATTTTACTATTTCCACACTATAAGCAAGGTGCTAAAGAATCCCCCGACGATGTTGATATGCGTGAAGGAAGAAGAAAACCAGATAGAAGCAGCACTCACGGTAAGAAGTCCTCCAGGAGATCTCTAGATAGGGCTGCAATTAACCTACAGAAAACTATAATTAGTCAATAAAGGGACTTAACAATGAAGAGGAAAAAGAAACAGCAAAGCAGTTCATCTCCGGCGCTCTACAGAAAAAATGATGGAAACAATACATGTAGCAAACAAATAGCAAGAACCATAAGAGCAAAAAGTTTTCACTCCACCATTTTTATTCTAAAGCTAGCAAAAGTCAAATACTCATCGTCTGCCGCAAAAGAACATGTTTAGCAGTTAGCTTCTGGAGATTGATGAATGAAAAATTTACAGTTCTAGGAACTTTTTATGAGCTTTGAGAGCCTAACATAATTCTTAAACAAATAACAAAATAACATTTCCGCTTCCAAAACAGGCAAAGGGGCTATATTTTCTTTTCTTTTCTTATTTATTTTGGATAACCGAGAAATCTCTAAGGGTCAGTGGCGCATAGTTCGAAACTCGTGCCTGACCCTATACTCTTCAGTCTTCTCCACTTAAATACCATACTTTTGTATGTGTCAGGGTTCGAGTCCACAACGTGCGCCTAACCCACGCATCATGTGTTGTGCTCTTATCACTAGCAAAGGGGTTATATTCAGATGGGAACAAATCAAGGAACCTGAATAAGTCTTTCCCAGTTATAAAAGCTCTTAATTTGGTTAATCAGAATCTGGTTTTAGTTTTTTGAATCTTCTTCAGATATAAAAGGTGGTGAAATTCCAAACTAGATAGAATAAGGTGTACTGCTCATAAGAGGAAATAAAAACAAAAACAAGTGAATCATCCTTAAAAGAACCCAGTAAGTTCGCAGAATACCTGAGGATTGGCTCAAGGGATAGTCTCCCTTTCATGTCCAACCTTGAAAGAAGTTTTGCGACTATCTGTTCTTTGTGCAGTATAATTTGTGGTAGCGTCTGTACCAAGGGAAATATTTCCTCGTAAAATGAAATAAAATCCTCGGCAGTGTTTAATTCCTGTTATTTTGTCCAAGAAAGAAAAAGAGAATTAGGGAAATCAAAAAAAGAAAAAAAAACATCCTTAAAAAGTAGGAATAGCACAACCAGTAGTAGCAAAAACCAACTACAAATTCAAATGGCAAAGCAGTCAAAAGCTATATTGCATAACTCTTCATTTTCTTAGGCATATCTGTTTTGAACGGGGTGTGATGCCTATGGGTACTTCTTGCATGTCCTTAGAACTAAACTAAAACTTGTCTAACAGTTGAATGTACTTGAACTGGATGCCTATACACGCTGAAACCATAACCAAATCCACGTACACGGTCCAAAACTTTTGGACAAAGGAGAAACTTATAAACTCTAAACCAACCATTTTCGTGTTTTTGTTTAACAGCCTGATAGGGAAAAGAAATCGTGCTTGTACCCTTATGAATTGTTTGAATTTTCTTATACAAAACGTACACATTATCAACTGACCAAAAATATGTAAACACTATCCAAAACAAAATTCTCTACGTAAACTTTCTGAAAAGACAACCTCTTCCCGTTTCTCAACAGAATTGTTCCGCTAACATTTTCTGACAAACATCAAATTCAAGCCCCTACTAAGAATCTTCAAACAAAAGATATGTAAATGTCACCCTCACAAAACCAAAAAAGGGAAATTATTTTAACAAAGAAACTTTCCCAAAACCACAAGTTAACCAAAAGTTCAACACTCTTTACAAAATGGTATACAAAAGTATCATATAAAATACATACTCTCCATTCCACAAGGCAATCCCGGAAGAAGGAGGAACCTTCAGACGGCTCAGCTTTTAAAGGGTCAAGACTTCTGTACACATCAACTTCAACATCTTCAATCCGCTCCGAAAATGTCTTGAACTGCACCATACATAAAACTCAATAAATTCAATTCCCACAAAAGAGAAACAGCAAGGCGCAACAAAGATGAGTACGAAGGGTTCATATAAAAAATTTAGACAAAGCAAGATGCTTAATGGTTATTCATACTTTTTGCATCATAGATAAGCAAGAACGCAATCAGTAATTGCACATTTAGTAGGCTCGAATACAAGTGACAGTGCAAAATATAGCTAGTATTGGTATAGAGACAGATTCTTAAGATTGAAGAAGAAGAAGAAGCAAATAAGTTGAGATGTTCAACTAGTTAACTAGAAAAACAACTACTGGAACTGTTTGCTATTATGAGGTAAATGGTTTAACATACATGACAGCCAGTGTTCTTTAGAAGCGAAAAGCGCAAAACAACGACAAGGTTCATGAGGTTTGAAGCAAAAAAGCGTGAAGCACACACTTTGAAGCGAAGCCCATGATGAAGCGCACAATTTCTGAAAATTAAAAATTACCAAACCTATATAAAATTTGGTTCTACAATAACAAAATTGCAACTAGTATCATTAATTTCAGCATCCAATATACAATAATCTCGATATTGGTCCAACTCCTCAAAGTTGAGATTCAAAGAACCGATCTCTTCTCATCTAGACCAATCTGCGCGTCATTATTTGAAATGCACACTTGTCCTGAAGCGCATCCCCTCATCTATGAAGCGATAACCCTTCTCTTTACATTACTATGGCTTTTAATAACACTGATTTTTGCCCCCAAAAGGTGGGCTTGGATCTGGAGTAACAACCTCGGAAACTAAAATTCCAATCTTTTCCTAAGAGTAAGTACTCAGTGAACTAGTTAAGGTGCGGCCAAGCTGGCTGGAAAATCACATTACCCGGAAATAAGTAGTCTAGAGTTTATTCTTATGAAGCTCAGCCCTTTGCTTCGCTTGTTTCCTCGTGTCGGTTTCAATAACACTGTTTTTTTTTTGCCCCAAAAGAGCGGCCAGGAGCTGGAGTAACAACCTCAGAAACTAAAGTTCCAATAGAGGTGAACTAGGTAAATTCTTCTCATGTACCTGATAAGTAAACTTCCAATCTTTCCCAAAGAGTAAGTACTCATATGTAGTTTAAAGCTTATTCATATGTACAAAATGGTAGTACTATATATTTTACTTATTATGCATACTACATTTAGCAAACAGTAGCTCTCCAAAGGGCCCATTAACAAAAAATTACTACTAATCACTAAAACTATAATTACGAAACTAAAGAGTATTCATATTAAAGAGGTTTAACACTAGAATAATTTCACGAGCATCAAGAAAATACAAAATTGAGCTTACAGTAAAGCGGCGGCGACCAGGGGATTTGTTGAGAGATTTAACAGCGTAGGCATCTGAAGCAGTTGCCATTTTTGTGCTGAATAATTAACAAATTGAACTCCTCTGGGCTGGCAGCTGCAGAGGGAGGAGAAGGAAGGAGTAAGGTTTAAGGTTGTGCTTTTCTTTTCTACTGGGGAGAAGAAAGGGTTTAAGATTAGTTAGCGGCTTAGCGCAGAGGCGGTTTAGAAGGGGTTAAAAACCGGATTCCTGTACCTCTAAAAAACGGTTCCTCTAATGGGTCGAGGACAGGGCGGATCTATGCGTACGCAAACTTTGTCAAACGTATATGGATCGAGCAAAGGCCGGCTCTAAAGTTATGAATAGTCTTACAGCTTGTTTGGATGGTTGTTATCCATTGTATTGTTATTGTTATCCCAAAATAATATTTATTTTAATTGTTTATTTAAAACTAGTTGTATCGTATTGTTAAATTCATTGTTCCGGAATAACCAAAAGCCTCATTTTATGAAATAACTGATTTGGTGTGGTTGTATAGGTCCAAATTTGGACGACCACGACCATTACTGAGTACGGCAAGGAACGAGATCCTTACGATGTAGCATCCTTTGGTCGTTTTAAAGGGTGGCGCCCGACAGTGGTAAGCGAACGTACGACGTCTGCAGTAATGTAAGCGTAGCAGGAGACAGTAGGAATATGTTTTTCGAATATTCTTTATGTTATATCTTTTTAGGGTTTAAAAGGGATTGTCCCTTATAAATAGGAGAGGAAAAAAATGAATACAAGGGGGAACAACTTTGCTTATTACAGTTATGAGATCCATACATCATCTTTTATCTTGGCTAATCGCATCCATTGCAATATGTTTCTACGTTCGAAGTTATCATAATCATTTGGTTTCGACATACGAGGAAGCATTATTCACCTTGTTCATCTCTTGCATCTTTTAATCTAGATTTTATTATACTTGGCTGAGATTTACCTCTTCATCTTCATTAATTGATTTAATCAAAAAGGTTTCAATATCTTTTGGTCAAACAATTTGGCGTCGTCTGCGGGGATTTCTTTAGCTAAGATTTTAGTCTCATCTAGACCCTTGAAAGGGATAATCACCTTTTCCTAGCTTTGCACAAATTAACAATGGCAGGGAAAGGAGATGCAAGGCAAAAAGCAATAGCAGGCGTCACAACCAACCTCCTAAACACCATCCATGAAAACAGCAGGGAAGATAACGAAACGGGACACCGAACACCACACCCAGGGGAGACGATTCACCTCTCCCGTACGAAAGCGTAACTACTTCGCGCGAGAAGGAAGCAACCACATCTACAACAGGAGAGGAACCACCGGCAGTAAGAAGATTGCTGGAAGAATGGCTAACAAGTACTCTGAACAACATACTTGATAAACCTGCCCAAAGGGATAACATGAATGTTGCACATGCAGATGT